TAGGAAACTGATGATTAATGCTAGTAGGTGATCAAAAGTTTTAATGAATCTCAGGTAAACTTAAAGCTTTATTGCAATCAGTTCATGCCAAATTTTTTATTTTTTTTTCGGTTTGGTCAATTATGTAAAATAACAAAACATCTATTTTTGTCTTCTTTTGTAGTCCAGAGAATTGGTTGTTTTAAGGATACATGGCGCAGGGCCATCCCACAACTAGATGGTAAAAGTCCTTTGTTAAGAGGAAACTATCAGCGGAGAAGAAAAGCTATTGAAAAATGTGCCTATGAAGCTGTCAGGCGTGGCTATCAGTTCATTGGAATCCAACATGGTGGATGGTGTGCATCTGGACCAAGGGCTCACAAAACTTTTGCCAAGTATGGCCGGTCAAACAAATGTAGGAATGGCAAAGGTGGACCTTGGGCCAATGATGTTTACCGGATTATAGGTAAGGCTATGTTTGATGAAATTTTCAGTTTCCAAATTGGTAAACCTGCTCATGTATTTCTTCCGGTTTTTGTCTTTTCCAAGTCCTGAATGTGCAACTGACATACAGCTGTATTAACCTTTTCACTCCCAAATCTCATCAGTAATAATCCTTACTGTCTATGTCATCTTGCTTGTTATGTTAGTTCAGATTAATTAAAATTGCCCTGATTAATGTTTTTCTTTATTATTTGATATTGTATTAATTGATATTCTATGGATAAATTGTCATGGTCACTCATGGGAGTTAAAGGCCGAGTGTCAATAGAAATATTCTACCCAGAGGCAGAAAATTTTCACTGAACTTTCACAGCCTTTGCTATCGATAAAGACCATTCGAGAACATAATGACAGTATAGTGTACTTTATAAGAAACTTTGAGTAGCTAAGGGTTGAGAAGTTCACCATCATCTGAACTGCTAAGAAAAATCAGAATTTTATCTATTAACCAACCTGTGGACAACGTTTTTGTCAGGAGCAGCAGGGTTGGCGCAGAGGTGAGAGCGCTCGCCTTCCACCAATGTGTCCTGGGTTTGATTCCTGGACCCGGCGTCATAAGTGGATTGAGTGTGTTGGTTCTCTTCTCTGCTCCGAGAGGTTTTTCTCCGGATACTCTGGATTTCCCCTCTCCTCAAAAACCATCATCATTTGAATTTATTTAATTTAGAGTTTATTTGGATTTATATACGACCCCACAAGCTGTTCAGCTTTAAACATTATCGTGTCTAAATAAAGGTGTTATTATTATTAATTATTATTATTATTGTTATTATTATATTATCATGTTCAGGCGTTTGATATGGTAATGTTCACTTCTACTTCTTTGTATTCCTGAGTGCTGTCATTGTTTGTTTTTATTTATCATTTTTCATTTTAACAGTTTTGGAATGTAAAGTTATAGTAGTAAAATTAATTTATATCCTCTTTTCCTGATTTTGGCCATTTACGTAAGTACTGTATGTATTCTACGAATTTGCAATATTTAGACAGGCTAGACCAGTTCTGCTCAAAGCTGGTTTAAGTAGGGGCCTGTGTAAGCAATAATGACAAGGCCAGACCACAACACCAGGAGCTGTGTTCTCTGCTATTTGCAAGAAGTGCATAGGTTCTTTAACGTCCCCTGCTAACCAGTTCAGGGAAATGAAGGGGAAAGGCCCACAGTTTATCACCCTTATCCAAGAAGACTAGAATTTTTAACCACTCCCCCATGTCATAGCAAAGGCAACACATCCTCCTTAGTTACTTTAGGATCCTGAGTCCAGCCTGGGGCCGCATGGCAGTCTGGCACTATACAATATAAGCAAACAAAGTGTGGTCAAAGCTAAAAGAAATTTTTTCTCAGACTGTTTGTTTTTTGTCAGGAAAATGCAGAAAAAGAACTACATCTGGTTACTGCTGTGTGTTCCCATTCACATATGGTAGACGCCGTTACAACAGATGCGCAAAAACAAGGAGGGGACGGCCATGGTGTCCAACTACACCAGATTATCCCAGGAGCAAACAATGGGGATATTGTCGTGGTTACCGAGGTATTAATGAAAATATACTTGTAACGTTGGACTTGGTCAAAATGAGGTTATTTACATTTTCTGCAGTGTTGCTAATTCCTGTTAACTTATTTTGGTCCACTAGCTCCTCCAACTAGAGTAACCAGTGGAGTTGTGAGTAAGTAACTGGATAACTTTTTTTTTAACATGCTAGAAAAATTTAAGTGTTTCCTGTACTGTCACCATTGTCTGACAGATGTGAACCATACCAAACCATGCGTGATGTCAATTATGATTGTTACTTATTTCTTCTAATTACCCTCGCAAAGGCCTGTCTCTTCTTTTTGGTTATTCTCGAAATGAGAATTGGAAGTAAAATGATATCGAAATTTTTTGTATTTCAGTTCGATCCCAAGGTTGTTATAGAGATACAGGTCGCCGAGCCATTCCACAAATGGATGGAAAAGGCCTTCTTGTGCGTGGTTACTATAGACGAAGAAGTGATGCCATAGCGAAATGTGCTCTGGAGGCTGCCAAGCGTGGCTATAGGGCTTTTGCAGTCCAACATCAGGGATGGTGCGCTACAGGCCCAAGAGCTCACGTGACGTATAGGAAGTATGGACGATCTAATAAATGTAGGAATGGCAAAGGTGGTCCATGGGCAAACGACGTTTACTTTGTTTCTGGTAGGTTTAAGTGAAAGTGAATACTATTTTATAAAACCAATTTATCTGTATGGGTTCATTGTCTACATACACAAACATCAACATTTGTTTTTATAGGTAAATGTCGAAGAAGGGCCACAAATCACTACTGCTGTGCATTCCCGTTCATCTACAAAGGACGTCGTTATAACAGTTGCACAAGAAGAAATAACAAACGGCCATGGTGTGCTCTGACACCCAACTATGATAGAGACAAGAAGTGGGGAAATTGTAAATGTAAGTTAAGTTACTGTGGACCAGCTACATTAAGTATGTATGTTGATCATCAGATCATCAGAGTTAACCCCGTAAATATTGATAAGTAATCGCATGACAAAATAAGAGAAATTTCTGTTTATTGTTGCCCCATGAATAGCCTATCGACGTAATCTGCAGCGGTTTACTTCAGCACACTCTGTATGCCTCTTTCACCATGTACAAATGTAGTCAAGCCAAATCATTTGACAAAAAAAAAAGCATCAAATGACTGTGTAGTTTGAAATTTCGCTGTATAGTCTATTTCACTTTTCATCCAAAATTGATGGTAATTCTGGCAAGAAACGATATAGATACTTTATAACTATAATTAGCTGCAGCCTCTTTAAACCATCAAACACCTCACACCTTTTCCATTACACAAGGCCGACGTCGCAAACCCATCCGACCTGTTGTTCCCCGAGTTAGAGGTTAGTATGAACAGTTCCTTTTAATATTGTATCACAGAGCTAACCTCTACCTGAATTAAAAAATATACAATCTATCAAGATTGCCTATGGTTTACTTTTCTCGTTTTGCTCATGATGCTGACTAATTCTACTGACTTAAATGGAACTTACAGATAAAGCAATAAAGTTAATAGGTACTTTTTGCATCAGTTTATTTTCTTTGTTTTTTGTTTGTTTGTTTGTTTTTGTTTCAGATATCATTACTTCTACTTAGTTATCGCTTATGATTAGTAAGCAAAGCTTGCAATATCGTGTATAGGCTCTTGTTCTAACTTCTACTCTGGCTAATCATGACAGCTACATGAATGAGTGTTCTTAAGTCAGTTAGTGGTTGAATTTTCCTGAACTTAAATACTTATTTTCTTTCTGTTTTGTTTTGTTTTTCTTTTGTTTTTCAGGCCGAGTGATCCGCATATCAGTGGGTTTGGTGGGTGAGTAAAACTGAAATGATTTAACTTCCCTTGCATGAACGTGCACAACATAAATAATGTCTTTGTGGTTGGTTTACTTTGAATTGCTTGGATCCAGAACTGCGTTGAGCTTGTATTTCTCTTTGCTTGGGCACATCTTTCAGGGGGAGCCCTTTTTGTACTTCCGATCATGTTCTCTGAATCGAGTTTTCCTTTACATATGTAAGGGATTTTTTATTTCATTAAATGCTTCTTGACATTTTTTGTGTTTCAATCAGCCAAGGGACTCGGCTGCTTCAGGGACACAGGAAAACGAGCTATATCAACTATGGAGGGCAGAAGTCGTCTCCTCAAAGGACATTACCGCAGAAGGCAGTACGCCATTCAGAAATGCGCTCTGGCGGCAAAGAGGAGAAGTTACTCGGTATTCGCAATCCAACATGGTGGATGGTGTGCCTCTGCTAGGCACGCTTATCGAACGTATGCCAAATATGGGAAATCTAACAGATGTAGAAATGGAAAAGGTGGACCTTGGGCCAACGATGTGTACGTGTTAAGAGGTAAAGAAAGCTTTGTTTTTTGTAACCCTTAGGTTTTATTAGAGAAAACTGTCCACTTCAAGCAGATTTATGGTATATGTATATGAAAATTTTACCTTTAAAATATTTGGCAAAAAATTTGTTTAGTCCTTTTGCCCTTTTTTCTATTTGAGTTAGTGCATATCAACAGTTTCTTGCCACAACTAAGTGAACCCGATTCTCGTCCGATCGGTTTGATTTTTACATCCTTTTATTTTATTATATTATCATTATTTAAAAACAGTACCATAAAAAGTACAGTACAGTATAGAAAACCATAAAAAAATACTACAAAAAAAACTACATTGCACTTATATACCGCAACAAAAATAAAAAAAAGGAAAAACAATACAAACTTTACATTTAACATTCATTTACTACATTACGTTAAATAAAAATTAGGTACCTAGGGTTAAGATTATAGCATTCAAGATAAAAAAAACTTTATTTTTTTGTTGTTAGTGTGTATCGGTGTGACTATTATGATTGAAATGAAAATAAAAATAAAAAACGGCTCCAATTTTTACACATGATTGGCTGAGAACTTGATCAATCACGGGGCCTTAAAAACAGGGCCAATGTCATCTCGACACTCCATTGAAACCTACCGTTGTGGGAACCTCTCTTACTGTATTGTGTTCTTCCTTTGACGACAGGGTCTTGCCGAGTGAGGTCAACTCGAGGTGAATGCTGCGTGTTCCCGTTCGTTTACAAGGGCCGCAAGTACACCAGCTGTACCACGGTCAATTCTAGAAACCGTCGTCCGTGGTGTGCCTCAACTCCAAACTATGACGTCGACAAAATGTGGGGCTACTGCCGAGGACGAGGAGGTTAGAAATATATTGGTATCCTTAATAATAATAATGATTATTATTATTATTAGTATCCTTAATAACAATAGTGATTATTATTATTAGTATTCTTAATGATAATAAGAATTATTATTATTAGTAGTATCCTTAATGTATCCAATTGCGTTTTATTTAAGCACTGAAGAACGCAAGGATACATTTTACGAATTACTTTTGGCCTCTTTTTCAAAACGAGGCCTGGTGCTCAACCATTCTTGTGAAAATGAGTTAAATTGGCATGTGAATGAAAACTTATAATCATATCAAAGGATGAGCACCAGGACTCGTTTTGAAAATGAGGCCATGCGTAATTCGGAAATGGGCTATTGTTGGTTTGTTTTGCATGTGAGAGTATTGGAAATTAGTTCTTAAACTCTGTGCGGGAAATGTTGCCAATTTTAATCGTTTTTTCTTTTTTAATTTCAGCACCAATCATCAAAGTCACACCATTGGTATCACGTAAGTAGCGCCATTAATTTCTCTCTAGTCTTTATTTCGTTTGGTGTATTGCCATTTATTGTATTTCCGTGTTACTGTTTCACAATGATGTTTTTAGTCGCTGCTCTATTTGTTCTTTTTCATTTAAACCTATTAAAGCGCATTTGACGGGGGAGTGGCGGGGAGGGGGATTTAAAAGTTACTTCAGAGGCTTGGTAACCACAATAGGTAACCTTGACAAAGGTCAATGTCACAAGCAGTGAATAGGTATTCAGAGGAAACATATGTAAGTGTCCTTGAGCGCGAAAAAAAAAAAAACAGTATGCTATCCAGGCAGACCGATGTTAGTTTATAATTTAACTTATCGAAAGCTTGGGCGAGTTTTCAAGACAAACTACAAAATGGTAAATCCAACGAATGCAAGCCTTCTTTTGGGTCCTATTCTCCTCTACAGTCCAAAGAGTCGGCTGCTTCAAAGACACATCTCGCAGAGCCATCCCTTACCGTGAAGGCAGAAGTATCCTCCTGAAAGGAAACTACCGAAGACGTCGCTTCGCCATAAAGAAATGCGCCTTAGATGCAGCCAGGTTTGGTTACAAGTACATTGGAGTCCAACATGGCGGTCAGTGTTTTTCAGGACCCCGTGCCCAGTTCACTTATGCCAAGTATGGACGATCAAACAGATGTAGGAATGGAAAGGGAGGTGGCTGGGCAAACGATGTCTACAGGATTTCAGGTGGGATGAGTTTAAACAGAATATCTAGGTGACATTTTTCTATTTTCTCATCCTTACGTTTCGTTTTCTTTTTTGTTCTTTGTTTATCCTGGTTCTGCACAATGGTAACTGAACTGAGTGGAGTGCAATTTGGTCCGAAATCACGCTCGTGATTTGGGGACAAAAGTTGCAAAGTTGTCACAGAATGGCTTTTTATCTTTCGTTTTTTCGCAATTTGATGGTTACCATCAGCAAGGTTCTTATTATCATTGATGGGTTTAAATTCTAGGAAAGTGCAAATATCGCACGACCACAGGTTACTGCTGTTCGTTTCCTTTCTTGTACCGCGGGCGTCGATACAACAGTTGTGCAAAGAATAAACGGGGACAAAGTTGGTGTTATATAACTCCAGATTATAGAAGACGGAGACTTTGGGGATACTGCAGGGGCGGAGCGCACCGTAAGTTCATACATTAAATTATTTATTGGTATATTTATTACCGACATGACATTGATGACAAAAAACGAATTAAAAACTAAACAGGCACAGCGATAATATCTATCCCTACCCCCCACAAAACAGATCAGTTGTGCACTTTAAGATAGCAGTATATAATATCTATCCCTACCCCGCACAAAACAGATCAGTTGTGCACTTTAAGATAGCAGTATATCATATCTATCCCTACCCCCCACAAAACAGATCAGTTGTGCACTTTAAGATAGCAGTATATAATATCTATCCCTACCCCCACAAAACAGATCAGTTGTGCACTTTAAGATAGCAGTATATAATATCTATCCCTACCCCCCACAAAACAGATCAGTTGTGCACTTTAAGATAGCAGTATATATCTATCCCTACCCCCCACAAAACAGATCAGTTGTGCACTTTAAGATAGCAGCATATTTTGTTTTGAACGCCTTGAAAAGATGCATATATCGTTTGTGAAAAATTATGAACGTTTCATTTACGTTTATTTCAACAGCTCGACCAATCAGAATCACACCCAATGTGTTGCGTAAGTATGAAGCTTCCTTCTCCTTTCTGTATAAGAGGAAAATAGGTCTCTGTAGTTAAAATTTATATTTATGAAAAAAATAAAAAATAAAAAGTTTTCCACAACTCTATGGTAGCGTTAAAAATTTTGAACACTGTATTTTTAGTCGAGAAACTGGTAGACTTTGAAGAGATACTGTACAAGAATGAACTCTAACCCTACCACTTTGACCCTTTACCTTTTCCTCACCAAGATCTAAATGCGAATAATCTGCATTGTCTTCCATACATTTTTCATTATTTCAGCTCTGAGATTTTGATGTTAAATCTAGTTTATATTTCTTTACATGACCTTTCTGCTCGAAAATGAAGGAGTTTTATGAGAGGGTAAATCACCAAAAATTTTATGTTAAAACTGAAAAAACTTGAACATGAAGTGGTATGTTTTCTCTTTTCAGTTCAATCTGCCGGATGTTGGCGAGACACTGGCCGTCGAGCCATTCCACAAATGGATGGCAAAGATGTTCTTGTCCGAGGCTATTACCGGAAAAGAAGCGACGCCATTTTCAAGTGCTTTGCGGCAGCCGCAAGGCGTGGTTACAGAACTTTTGCTGTGCAACATCAGGGATGGTGCGCCACGGGTCCAAGAGCTCACCTGACGTTCAAAAAGTATGGACGATCCAATCGGTGTAGAAACGGCAAAGGTGGCCCGTGGGCTAATGACGTGTATTTCATTCGAGGTGAGAGTAAAGATATTTTCGTGTACGACGCGTCAGGATTCGACTTGACTTGAAGTGAATGGACATTGCCTAACCTGGTATAAGTGAAAGTGTATAACATAATTTTACATGTCGTGACGTGACCTCACAGATGTAAATCACTTTACCAGATAGGGACAAAAAAATGCGTCCCGTGACATGGCGTCTTAGATGTGCACGACTGTACCAAATATGATTGAAAATGCGTAACGTGAAGACATGACCTTGACAGGACTCTACATGTGGTGACATGACATAACTGATTAACATGATTCTAGCTGATATGGGGGTTAAAATGTGTGACATGACATGACGTGACCTTGACATGACTTATGTCGTGAAACAATGTGACAGCTGATTAACTGGACCTTATTTAAAATGAGATTAACTGCAACATGAAACTCAGTGACTTGTACATGAATTAACATGCTGAAACGGGTTGACGTTACTTTGCTAATTTTTTATTTCAGTATATGAAACGTGACTTGATTCAACATGAGATATCTTGCGTGACGTTATTTTTCAACTCTCATCTATAGGATCCTGTAGGAAACGAACTACTTCGCGTTATTGCTGTGCATTCCCATTCATCTACAAAGGCCGTCGTTACAATAGTTGCACATCAAAGAACCACAAACGACCGTGGTGTGCCTTGACGCCCAACTACGATCGAGACAGGAAATGGGGAAATTGCGCCGGTAATTTTTAGCCTGTTAATACTGCAAGTAGAAGCTCTGCCATAACAACCATGGGATGAACAAAAGTTTGAAATTTTATACGAAAGGACTTATTGTAACGAACAAGAGGGACCAACGTTGGCAATTTGTTCACGAAATGTACCCTACGTTCACCCTTATTCAACATACTCCACCAATTTCTTTGGAAAAACTTCTCAAAATGAAAACTAAACCTGTCGCTAGTAGAGAAAGCTTTTCACTATTCTTTTCAAATTCACTTGTGTAATGGTTTTGTTTGTTTTGTTTGTTTTTTTTTTTTTGTTATTGTTTGTTCATTTTATTTGATGTGATAATTTCAAAGGTAGCTACTTCATGTATCCGATGTCTGGGTACCACTTCATGAACATCTATAAGGTAGACAAGACTTGATATTAATGAAATATTTGTTTGTACTCTCCTCAGGACGTCGGCCCGTCAGACCTGTCCGTCCAGTTGTTCCTTCATATAGAGGTAAGCTCTGACAGCTATTCAAGCTTTTATTAAAACCAATAAAGTAGACTGCTAGTATCTATTTTTTTCTATTATTTTGTGTTTTTGTTTGGTACTAGCGCAAGGGGAAAGCGAGCGTAGAACTTTGGTCTGGTTCGAGATACGTCATACCCCCAATATTTTTCCTGTCATTTTCCAGTCTCTTCTCGTGCCAGTCTCTTCTCGTGCCAGTCTCTTCCCATGGTGAAGTGGACGGGAGGGGGTAGAACGTATGATTCTTCCGCTGTGCCTTACACAAATTTCTTTTTTGCAGGAAAAGTGATCAGAATTACCGTTGGACTGAAAGGTTGGTGCAGCTTCTTTCTGGTGTTTTCTTCTTTGAATTGGCCAGGTGTCAATGCCACTTTTGGTAAATCTTCGTCATAACGAACCGATCTCCTTAACCGTTTGACTCCTAAGAGCGTCTAGCATCTAATTTCTCCTTACATTATCACCCCTAAATCACACATTAAGGTCAGGAGAATAAAGGAAATGATCACCAACTAAAGAAGCTCTTGATTGTTAAACAAATTCTCATTATCAACACCTTAGAAACTGTAAAGAGAATAGTATGGAGAAGATACATACTGATGTTAGGGTGTAAAGGGTTAATTGGAGCTAAAATAGCATAAGCACACAGACGTCCTTCTGAAGTTGGGACAACTCATCCAGATTATCCTTGTGTTCTAAGCTCAACTGTCAGGGTGCCACCATCAATAGTAAAGACAACAGTAAATTATAAGTGAATTTTGATAAGCAGTGATCCAAAACAGGTGACAGTTTTCCAATGAGGATTTACCGGGTTTAGATTTTCCATGAAGCGTATGGAGGCCTTTAAGGCACAGTTTGACATTTATGTGGTTTTTACGTGTTCTTTCAGTAAAGGGACTCGGCTGCTTCAAGGACACAGGCCGACGAGCTATAGCACCATTGGAAGGTAGAAGTCGTCTTCTGAAGGGACATTACCGTCGAAGACGATACGCCATTCAGAAATGCGCTCTGGCGGCAGCAAAGCGAGGATTCAGAGTGTTTGGGGTACAGCATCAGGGATGGTGTGCGTCAACAAAATACGCCTATCGAACATATGGCAAATATGGACGAACCAACAGATGTAGGAATGGAAAGGGAGGACCTTGGGCCAATGATGTTTATGTACTCAGAGGTGCTTTTGTAAACCTTTTAATTTTTGGAATATGAAAGATTTTCTGTGTACTAAGTGGCTTGTTAGTAAGTCATTGCTTAACCAACCTCACTTCGCGCTTGAACTCTGTTCTTGACGGATAGTCACGCAGTATAGATCTCAGTTGACTCGTGACGATCTCCATTTTGTCACGCGAGCCACTCGACTAGTCGCGCAATTCTCTTCATACTTAACCTGTTACCTCTAGTGACTTACATTGACCCTTTCACTCCCAAGATCTCACCAGTAGTTCTCCTTACTGTCTGCGATACAATTCTTATAATGCAAGTTTGGAGAATTTAGTATTGGATCAACTAACAAACCCCCTAACTGACATTTTTCCTTTATTCTCATCACTTGCCGGCTTGATATTGAATTGACCTTATAAGGAGAACTTCTGCTTGGTAGTCGCGTAGGTCTCTTCTCACGATCTTCTCTTCTTGAAATTCCAACTTTTCGCATTTTAGTGACTCAGTGAACGAAAGAAGATGATTCTTTGCATACTTTGGAAAAAAAGCGCCTTTTTGTCAATTGTTTGATATTTTCAATTTTACCAAAGAGAAACTACTGACCTACTGTTTTTCAGGCTCCCCTCGTGTACGAACAACAAAGGGCAACATTTGTGTGTTCCCGTTCATTTACCGTAGAAGGCGATACCACCGTTGTACTCGAGTCAACTCAAAGCGGCCCTGGTGTGCGCTAACTCCTAATTACGATGTAGATAAATTGTATGGCTGGTGTAGAGGACGAGGTAAGAAAACAAGATCCATTGTTGGAAGTTCTTAGATACAGTGAGATCCCGATATGACTAGCTTGCGAGGAGGCTCTAATTAATTTCCAAGATTTAGTTGTTAATTCTTCGCTCCTGCAGCTGATACACATTTTCTTGTAAATTGGCTACATGAATTTGGTGCTCAATCAGGTAACAACTGCTACCTGATAAGTTTGAGTATTCTCATTACCTGCTTGCCAGATCATGTATGGATATTATAGGGAGAATTTACATGTTAATCACTTGTGGGAGTTAAATGGTTAACAGGGCTTCATTACGCGCGTTTCTTGGCCTGCAAGAAAGTTTTAGGTCTTGAGCAACGCTCACTGACGAGGGGTCTGCAAGTGGTCCGTCACTGATTATCATCAGTAGTGCTAGAACCCTGGCAGACCTCTCCCTGGCAGACCTCTCCCCGACTCAAAACAACGTAAAGCTACATTAAATTTGTAAGTATTGTATTGTCGGTTTTAGTAGATCATTGGCCTGTGATTAATCTCTGTTTTTATAATTTTTGCCTTTGTTTTCCTTTTCATCATTGCTATTATCAGCCTTAATAATTTGATTTCTGCTATTGCTGTTATTATTGTTATTATTACTCTTATTATTATCATCTTTTTTGTTATTATCATTATTATTCTTTATTACCATTATTTATATTATTTTGTCACTATTATTTGATGAGAGATATCCTACCCAGGGTGCTGGCGCATAAGTAGAGTATACTGATTGTAACATTGCAGGCATTCCTTCAAGCAAGTTACTTTAATCTGTCTCCATTTTTTTCTTCCTTGCAGGACGGCCCATAATAGTCTCTCGAACATTAAGAGGTAAAAGTGAATTAATTATTGCTATGTCAACATCATCAGCTTAGGGAATAATTCTCGAAAAAAGCCAATTTTTTTTAAAGACCGGCTGTTTAGTTTGCCTCTTTCGATAAACGGTTATCACTCCTACCTACAGCTGTAAGCTTTGGAAGTATAGTCTGTGCTGCTTTAGGGCCGGACAAACCCTCACAGAAATCTTTTATAACTGAAAAAAAACTCCACATTCAGTTTGAAAACTTTATTTAACTTTCTCATGTTTGAACAGTTTTTGCTATCGTCAGTTTACTTCGCCAGGCATTTACCTTAGTTTCGGCCTCTTATCGCTGTCAGTTAAGTTTATGGACAGGCCCTCGTGTTTGAGTTTCACTTCACGGCCCCTTATCGGACTCAACCGCCCATTACTTCATCGCCAACCGCTTATTCAAAAAGTTATTGAAATCTCTGCGTATGCTTGTTTTATTGTTGAATTTTTCCCTTCTGTTACAGCTCAGAGAATTGGCTGCTTCAAAGATACGGGACGAAGAGCAATCCCCATACTGGAGGGTAAAAGCCGGTTTCTCAGAGGCAACTACCAAAGGAGACGTTATGCCATAAAGAAGTGTCTCTTGGAGGCAACCAAGAGAGGTTACAAAGTATTTGGAGTCCAACATGGTGGGCAGTGTTTTTCAGGACCCAGGGCTCAGCATACCTATGCCAAATATGGACGATCAAACCGATGTAGGAATGGAAAAGGAGGGGCGTGGGCCAATGATGTCTACAGGATTTACGGTATGGGAGTGTTCGTTGTGAATTGTCCTGTTCAAGGTCTACAACTTAGTTGGTATGCTGTTGAACGGTGACTGAAAGTACATTGTGAAACATTGCTTTTACCGTTGGAGGACCCATGAGATATCCTGTTAATTATCTGTGGTGAGCAGGTCTAAAAAGGTCATAACAGCTGTCTTTGACTGGTTCGCTTTTTCATCCTTTCTCTCTTAGCGGTAAAGACCTGGTATAACCATCACTGATTCTCAAAGCGCATTATTTGTCTACTTCTTACTACGCTCACCATCATTTACTTTGAATAAAGTTGTGTTAGACTGACTCGATTTAATTGTTCTTTAGGGAGATGCGGAAAGCGTACAACGCAAGGAAACTGCTGCGTGTTCCCATTTAAGTATCGTGGGCGTTATTACAACAGCTGCGCTAGAAATCGTCGTGGTCAGCGGTGGTGTGCGCTCACTCCTGATTATTCCAGGAACAAGCTGTGGGGGTACTGCAGGGGAGGAAGCAAACGTAAGTGATGTTTTCGGTTGTCTTTTGGTGCGTTCACTAATCACATCCATCAATCAAAGCTTAGCAAAGCCAATCAAAAACAAGCAAACTGCATAAAGCGCGGGAAAACGCGGGTGCCCTCGTCGTGATTAGTTTTATTTTATCTTCTGATTGGCTGAGAAAATGCTGCAAGTTTTGTAGACCAATGATAGAGTGCGATAAAGGAAAGCCAGTGTAATCCATGAATACTATCGATACTCAGTTAAAGATTCCTCTAAATAGGTATTTTTCTTGTTTTCATGTCATGCCGCTTACAATTGAATAGGTTACAATACTGGTATTTGCTCGGCGGACTTTAAAAGTCCTTTTGATTAGAACATTAGGAAAGAGACTCTTCCCAATGAGCTATTGCGTGCAAGGCTCAAACGATTCAGTGCTTCCTATTCTCCACAGTCGGCAGCTTAATTCGGTGATCATAACCTTCATTCTCATGACGTTAATGCTTTATTCAAGGGTAATACTAACAACAACAAACATATGAAACATATGTATGAACTGCGGTTATGAAACGTATATGTGCACGATCCTTCGCAGTAAAGCACTATTTGAGCAATAGTGAAAATCAGACCTGAAAAAAATTTCAGGCCTGTACGGGACTCAGGTCAGTGGTTCGAGTCCCGTACAGGCCTGAAATTTTTTTCAGGTCTGATTTTCACTATTGCTCAAATAGTGCTTTACTGCGAAGGATCGTGCACATATACGTTTCATAACCGCAGTTCATACATATGTTTCATATGTTTGTTGTTGTTAGTATTACCCTTGAATAAAGCATTAACGTCATGAGAATGAAGGTTATGATCACCGAATTAAGCTGCCGACTGTGGAGAATAGGAAGCACTGAATCGTTTGAGCCTTGCACGCAATAGCTCATTGGGAAGAGTCTCTTTCCTAATGTTCTAATCAAAAGGACTTTTAAAGTCCGCCGAGCAAATACCAGTATTGTAACCNCTTAAACGTGTGTAGCGTATCATCAAGTGATGTTATGTCTGTTTATTTTCTAGCGGCTCCAATCAGAATTTCTGGAGTTATCAGTAAGTATATACAGTATACTTTTTCTCCCCATGTATAGCGAAACCATGTTTTTTTCATTAAAACATTAGAATTCGAATTATAAAGAGCCGAAACATAAGTGTTACACCAATCCCAGCACTGGATCTTTTTGTTTACTAAAGAGACAACATTGGAATTTTTCTTTCTTAATATTTCTGTTTGATATATTTGTAAAATCGATTTTTGCAATTTTCTCATTTTTGGTTTGACTTACTTTTCTCTCTTTTTTTTAGTCCGATCTATTGGCTGTTTCAAAGATACTGGTCGCCGAGCCATCCCTCAAATGGATGGCCGAGGCATCCTGGTACGGGGTTATTACCGAAGACGAGCGGACGCCATCTTTAAATGCGCCTTAGAGGCCATGAAACGTAGCTATAGATACTTTGCTGTTCAACATCAGGGATGGTGCGCTACGGGCCCGAGAGCTCACGTGACCTACAGGAGGTATGGACGATCCAATCGATGTAGGAATGGAAAGGGTGGACCTTGGGCTAATGATGTCTACTCAATCACTGGTAGGTGCTAAACTTTATGTCCTGGCCTTTTTTCTTAGAGATACGTAATTTTTTTAAGTTTTTTTAGGCGTGAAGAGGCAAGCGTAAGGCGAAAGCGAGGAGAACGCGAACAGCACTCCCACCCTCGTGCGTGATTCCCGCCACGCGCGCCCTTGCGCTTGATTACGTTTGCGTGAGTAAGGTTGAAAGTAGCGCCTGTTGTTCCGGCTATTTTTTACAAAAATAGAGGGCGTCGATCATCGTTAAACGAACCTTTAGAGTCGCACACAAACACGTTCAAAGATTACCGCTATCTTTTTGTACTGCCACAGGGGAATTGTCCTTTCATGGTATTTCGACTTATAAATTTATCTTGATTCTTATCAGAACCTTGCCCTTACACAGATATAAATTAATTCTCTGACCTCGTACTTCTTTCACACAGGTTCATGTCGAAGACGCACAACCTCCCGCTACTGCTGTGCATTCCCGTTCATCTACAAAGGCCGTCGTTACAACAGTTGTACAAAAAGGAAACACAATCGGCCATGGTGTGCTATGACACCCAACTACGACCGAGATAAGAAATGGGGCAATTGTGCAGGTATGTTCATAAGACTGAGACGATACAGTCGTTGTTATTTGTCAGCAACTGATGTAAAGAGTGGTCGGTGTTCTTGACAATAACCTTGAGAAAGCGCTTGGTAAGAGCCTCCCGCCTTGCATGGGGGGTGGTGAGACATGACATCTGAAGGGTGTCAGAGTAACTAGCGTAAGGGAAGTTGGTCCTCAGGGCGCGCCTTTGAAGTCTCTCTCGATCAGCTTTGGTAGTTGAAGACTAAATTATTCTCCAGTCTTCACTTTCTCCCTCTCTTTCCAATCGCGTTGGATGTGACTCTGTATGTCTTAACATGACAAAATGAATTGATATTAAGAGATTTTAATCTCTTGCATAATCTTTTGATTGACATGACGTCACTTAGTATGAGCATAACTGCGTGGCATTACACGACGTGACATTGACGTGACTTGACATGACGTGACAGATTGATGTTACCAAGAAGCGTAAAAAGATTCTTTTTTCAGACAATGATCAATAAGTCTCATTCTTTTTTACTTTTCCTTTCTTTTTTCCAGGAAGAAGACCCGTCAGACCTGTTCGTCCTATTGTCCCTCGAGGTACCTTCCTAACCTGCACCATTAAGTACTGTTTTCTTATCACTTTTAATCCTTCGTGATCATGTGTGAGAGGTTAATATGATACAGAAGAGTGTGTAGAATCCGTTGACATTTCTTTAATTTATTTCCCAGTCCTAGTAAATGAGCTTGGCTAACTCGATTGCTCTGGAATTAAATTGGATCTTTCTTGCTTAATTTGTAGGTCGAAGGATAAGAATCTCAACTGGATTGATAGGTAAGTTCGAATCTGATTAAACTCTTATCTCTCCCCAGGGAGGTTACCAATTCTCTCCCACCGTAAGTTGGGAGAATTTTGTGTTTCGGCGAACAGTTGATTATCTGTCGGTCGAACATTCTCTTTATTCCGATTAAATTGTGCTTGGGATTGTATATGTTTGCTTTTGTAAGGTGAAGTTGTCCAGAGAGATTCTTCACGATTAAGAACATAGCATCGAATGCTTTAGGAGTACACCCTGTATCTCTTTTATCATTGTCATTTCTTTATATTGTATTATATCAAGCACCTCAATTGATCGTTCTCCTTATTCTCTTCACCTTCGTACTTATCACTCCTTTTACATGTTAAGGAGACGTTACTTGTTAATCATCGTTACTTGTTTTCTCTAATGCAGCACACGGCATCGGCTGCTTCAAAGACACAGGCCGACGAGCCATAGCACCGCTGGAAGGCAGAAGTCGTCTTCTGAAAGGAAATTACCGTCGTAGGCGATACGCAATTCAGAAATGCGCTTCTGCCGCTGCGAAGCGAGGATACAGAGTGTTTGCGATCCAACATGGCGGATGGTGTGCGTCAACAAAGTACGCTTATCGAACATATGGAAGATACGGAAGATCTAAAAGATGTAGGAATGGAAAGGGAGGACCTTGGGCCAATGATGTTTACGTTTTACGAGGTTAGTTTCATTTGAAGGGTACATATGTTAGAGTTTTGATTTATAACCGAGACTTCTTTTTTCACATAGAAATGTTAACAACGTTTTTCGATTGTCGATTAGTTTTTAACTCTTTATACCCTAACATCAGTATGCAAATTCTCCATACTCTTCTCTTTATGTTTCTTATGGTACTCACAAGGAAAATTCGTCTGACCATCACAGGGCTCGACACTAACTTTTCAACTTACTAGCCAAGTGGCTAGTGACAACTTAGATGTTATAACAATTTCTGTTTGTTTACTGGCCAAACTGGTTAGTAGAAATAAAAAACCACCAGCCAAAACTGAATTTCTACTAATGAATAAAGGCTGATGGTTTCTAAAGAAACTGTTTGGGCTGCGTCGGTGGGGGTAACGAAATAATTTGGATATATCAACAAAGTTGAAATGGTAAATTGGCCATCGAAACGTCAGCTTTTGTAATCGTTACGGTGGCCAATTTACCATTTCAACTTTTTTAATATATATAAATGAATTTCTACTAGTCTGTGGCTAGTTGGCTACCGTTAGTGTCCAGCCCTGCAATCAAGAGCCTCTTAACCTTGTGATAATTTCCGTAATTCTCGTGACTGTTTTATTCAGTAGTGATACTGTTGGGTGAAATTAGATACTTAGCACTCTTAGTGTTTAAAAGGTTAGACAAAATATTAAAATTTTTGTTTTAGATCAAGTTGCTCAAGTAGGAGGAAAGCTTTATCCTTAAAGACGGAAGCAAAGTGCTGTTAAAAGATGTTAAAAAATTTCCTTTATCACGTCAGTATGGGCACAGCATACTGCTCAGAAATTTAGTTTCAATCCGATCAGCCAACTGAAAAATTGACTGATCGAAAGAGTTGTGTAATTTTTATAAAATTCCTTTCGAATACTGGAGAAAAACTTAAGACTTACTAATAGTAAGCAGGTACAATTTTATGACTCTCTTTGTTCATTACCAGGCTCCCCTCGTGTGCGAACGACAAGCAACAACATTTGTGTGTTCCCATTCATTTACCGTGGCAGACGATACTTCAGCTGTACCAGACTTAACTCCAGACGACCCTGGTGTTCTCTTACTCCTAACTATGATGTGGATAAACTGTCCGGTTGGTGCAGGGGAGGGAAGGGTGAGTATTGATGATAATTAATGTATGCATTAATTAGCATAATTGGTTTTATGGACATTAACACTAGGAATAAGATGTCGTAATTACAATAACCATAACTGTGAAGCCAAGAATATTAAAACTGTTTTAAATAGTTACAACTATAATTATTAATGTTGCAGGTAGGGTGGACTGTCATTTTGAAAAGCTCCCTCGATTGTTAGAAGGAAATCATCGCGAATTGCTTAAAAATTAGTCTTTGCTACGAGAAAATTGAGCGGAAATTTCTACCAAAGATTGTTCTCCTAAAATGACCTATTTTGGTAGGAGTTAGATGTTATGTGTATGGTGATTCATTTCACTTTACATAATTTGAGTTTAAATTGCTTGCCTCACACTGAAGATAAGACTAATTCCGAACTTTTATATTTATTTCGACAGCTCTTCCAATCAGAGTTGCACCATCGATAACATGTAAGCATACGCTAATAACCATCGCAAAACCTTTGTCAATGAATTACATAACTTTTAGATTAGATTACAGACATAGAGCCTTAGATAAGGCTTGGAAATACCTTGGATTGGATTTAATAAGAAAGAACTTGCCACCAGTGCTGTGTTCCATGACTTCTTTAGAGGGGGTGATTTTTTCTTTCTTTTATAGAATAACATCGCCCTTTGTGATATTCTTAGTCGTTGACCCTTTAACTCCCAAGATCTGATTGCTGACTCTCTCCTCTAGCTGCTACACCTTTCCTTGCAAATAAATTACAAGAATTTAGCGTTAAATCAAGATAACAGCTTCTACCTGATAAGTTTGAGTATTCTCGTTACCTTTTTACTGGATGATGTATGGATATTATGGGGAGAAGTTACATTTGATCAGTTCTTGGAGTTAAAGGGTTAACACCTATCTTCCTGGAAATGCTTGATACTGATTGCTCAGAGGAAGTACTTAGTAGGATTAAAAATGGTTGAACAGTGTCAATTTAATAATCTTAACACTCCAATCTGGTTTGTTTTTTTAGTGCAAAGTGTTGGATGTTTCAAGGACACTTGGAGAAGAGCCATCCCAATATTGGAGGGCAAAAGTCTCCTCTTACGAGGGAGTTACCGCGCTAGGAAAATGGCCATTAAAAAATGCGCTTTGGAAGCAGCAAGGCGGGGCTACAAGTACATTGGAGTCCAACATGGCGGTCAGTGTTTTTCAGGACCCCGTGCTAGGTACACTTATGCCAAGTATGGACGATCAAACCTATGTAGGAATGGAAAGGGAGGTCCTTGGGCAAACGATGTCTACAGATTGTCAGGTATTTGTCAAAATTTCTGCGTTGCTTTTGTATTCGATTCTTAAAAGGGAAAAAAGTTGACGAAGGTTTAAGCATACGTTTCTACTCATTCAAACAAATGCGATTTCTCTCCTCAGGAGGCTGCAGATTCAAAACCAATACAGGTTTCTGTTGTGTGCCATTCATGTACCGCAGGCGACTATACCGTGGCTGTGCTCCAGCTAAAAACGGCAGAACCTGGTGTGCAATCACACCTGACTATAACCGGAACAAACTGTGGGGGTACTGCAGAGGCGGAAAGAAACGTAAGACCACAACTTTCTCCTGTAACACGTACACAATTATTTGACTTTGTTGATTGTTATGAATAATATCTCTTTCTACTCCTCTTTGGTTGCATATGATGTGGATATGACAATGGCGGTGATGTTACTTATAGAAATTTGAATGAGAAATGTGGAACGTTCTCGTTGATTTTACCAAAGCTATGTGATTTTTTGCTACTAATGATCTATATACTTTTTTTTTTCTTTTACAGCTGCACCAATAAGAGTGACAACGGGAGTCATAAGTGAGTATACTCTCGTCATTTCTTTAGGCTTGTTGACACTCATCTTGCGTGAAAAAAGAAGAACTTAAATGTCGAATTTCAAAGCCATCCTACCTTCTTTGTTAGGAGTTACATCGCTCGCTAGCTCTTTCCAGGATAGTATATTTGAATTGAGTGTCGCACGACAAAACTGTTAGAATGACCAATGACAGCAACCGTAGTAACTAAAAAGTTAACAAATCAGGTCGCAAAAAAACCACGTGAACTCCATCATCATCTTATTTCATAAAGTTTTGACTTTAAATCTGATTGGATAGGTATTTTAGATGTGTTTGCAGTGAGTGTGACAGTATTTGCAGGGATTATTGAATTAATGGCAAGGGAGTAATTATCGTTTCATGGAACGTGCCATAGTGATAATTCGCTTCTTGCGACGTGACAATTTTTTCTGAATATCTCTCTCTCTCTCTCTCTCTCTCTCTCTCTCTCTCTCTCTGGTAGATAATTTTTCGCTGAAGTTCAAATACGTTTCAATTTTTGAGATGATGTCAGTACTTTGTTTTGGGAGCAGTACACACGAAGCAGTTTATTGTGACGATTTGTCACTTAGTGTCTCTTCGTTTCAAGCCAAGAATTGTCTTCACTTGATAAGGACTGCTTAATTTTTTTTCTTTCAGTCAAATCGCTTGGATGCTACAAAGATACAGGCCGTCGCGCTGTTCCCCAGATGGATGGTCGTAACCCATTAGTGACAGGCTACTACAGACGAAGAGCAGACGCCATAAAGAAATGTGCCCTTGTTGCTTTAAGGTTCGGTTACAGAGCCTTTGCAGTTCACCATCAGGGATGGTGCGCTACGGGTCCAAGGGCTCATCTCACTTACCGGAAGTATGGACCTACCAATCGATGTAGGAATGGCAAAGGAGGTCCTTGGGCTAACGATGTTTATGCCATACAAGGTAGGGGAACTTGTAGAAATCTGAAAATATATCTTGTCCAAACTTAAAAGGCCGCATCATGTTTTGTTGGGTTATATGTGATTACCTGATCTTGCAATTGACCCTTTAAAAACTGGCGACCAAAAGACCACTAGATTATAATTAACAACCGAAAATTTAAAATTTGAAAAGTCCCGCCTTATCTCCTTATTATGACCCTATCTCTGATCAAAACATGCCAGTTTGCATTCTGTATTTTCCCTTTATTCAATGTTTGTTTTGGTATGTTGTTGTTTTTAGTAAGTTTTATTAGTATTATTATTTATCGCATCCATGAAAACGACAAGAAGCGGCTGTACTTAAGGAGAGTGTTGGATGTTGAGCATGGCTCGTTCACGCCGCTTGTATTTACAACTACGGTAGGGATGGGGATGGAATGCATAAGATACCACAGCCGATTGGCCGAGCTGATAGCCGCCAAGAAAGGGGAACGATACTCGCAAACAATTTCCTGGANTTGTAAGGGAGGTAAGAATAAATTAAGGGAGATGTAACTGTTCCACATCCTTAGATTATCATCCACTTCGCGAGCTGAGAAGCTTACTTCATGGCTTAGTGTTTGTGATGGAAGTTTAATAAGCCAAGCTTTATTTTTGTATGTAAGGTATTGTTTTTCATCTTTTGCAGCTACAGTCATACAAGTCACTGTAGGTTTGAAGGGTAAGGAAGTTTATCTATAGCTCTTAATTTAATACCAATATAATACAACCCCTACCCCTTTCTAATAATAAATCTAGATTTGAAGGGTTTCTACGCAGAACACCACCCGTTGAAATTATTATCAAAAGTTACCAACCCTCAGTTGTCTCTCTTTAATCGTCGCCAGCTAAAAACGATGTTTGAAACGTTTAAAGTAAAGTTCACTCATCATTTTACCTTTCGAAAGTGGCTGAAAATAAAAGCGATGGTAAAATTGGTAAGATGTTGTCACTGTACACATATTACTTCTCTACGCGAAAGCTAAGTTATGGGAGCGTGCCGCAAGAGTCTGGGGAGGAGATGTCAGACGTTGAACTGGTCAAGACAATCAAACCGGGCTGTTTAAAGCGAAGGTTGCTACCCATCATGCCTCTCAGGTACATTCCTTCACTGTGAAGGAATTTTAAGTAGCTAGTTCATTTGTTAGGTTTCAGCCTATCATGACTGTGCCACACGTATTTCAATTTTCCCCTTGCAGCTTACGGCATCGGTTGCTATAGAGACACCGGTCGACGAGCCATACCAACCTTGGAGCGCCGAAGTCGTCTACTGAAGGGTAATTACCGGAGGAGACCAGACGCCATAAGAAAGTGCGCTTTGGCTGCGTCTCGAAGAGGTTATAAAGTTTTTGCTATTCAACACGGAGGTTGGTGTGCGTCTGCAAGATATGCATATCGAACATATGGCAAATATGGAAAATCCAATCGATGCCGAAACGGCAAGGGAGGACCTTGGGCCAATGATGTTTATGTCCTCAGAGGTGAGGCAAAAGCTGTTTGTCTCTGTGATAGAGGCCATCATTATGTTTGTTGTTTCGTATATCTCTATAACAGTGGCGGCCATCTACTGAAGGTAAAGCCAGACTGTTCAAGTGTATGATCATCCGAAACTACTTTGAAAGGGCTCGATGAAGATTTAATCTTGCATTGATGCGTTCACTCGGTTTCCTTGGAGTTTATTTTGTATAACGGTGTTTTCTCGAACGTGGGCCGTTTCGAAAGTTTATTATGTATGACGTTGTTTATTATGTATGACGGTGTTTATTATGTATGAGTTTATTATGTATGACGGTGTCTTCTCGAACGTGGGCCGCTTCGAAAGAAAAATGTTTTCTTGTATTCTTACGAGCGTGGGACAATGAGAATGATCTGTGTTGCAATGAGGAATCGAATTTCGGTTCCGTGCTCTGACGCTTTGGCACTGAGCCTAAAAGACTTTACAGTGAGTAAAGCCATTACTTTGTTCACAACTGACACTCGTCCGGCAAACTGCTAAGAACATAGATGGTGATTGCCTCTAGAGTTAATAGAATATAAAAGGTGGTGAATTTTTAGGCTAGGTTTAAATTAATTTAAATTTAATTTAAATTTACTTGTGATGCTATGAATTTATTTTTTTATAATGCTAGGTTCTTGTAGTGTGAAATCAACGAATGGATACTGCTGCTCGTTCCCGTTCGTGTATCGAGGCAGACGATACACAGGATGTACCAGAACGAGGTCTAGGCGCCCCTGGTGTTCCCTTACTGGAAACTACGACAAGGATAAGCAGTACGGATGGTGTCCTACCCGTGGAGGTGAGACTGGAAAAGCAGAACAAAGTTTCTAATTTTTTACTTTTTCCGTGAATGTTAATCTTTGGAATATATTTCTTTCTCATTTGTTGGTAAGGTTTGCCAAAGCAGCTAGAGGACTAAATTCATCTAATTTTATGTGCCATATCCCATGATTAATTGTAATTTTTTATTTATTTTTCGCCAGCACGTCCTGTCAAGATAACATCATCAATATTTAGTGAGTATCGGCCAATATCCAGCCATCTTGACCCCACGCTTGGTCAATAACGCATGTATAGGGTGGAGTTCAGAAACAAAGCCCTCGCAAGTTATTTGTCCCATTGTTTAGTTTTAAATAGTAATTTGAAAATTTGGTCGTAAAGTTTTGGTTTCGCCTTCTTATGAACGTGTAAGCCTGCAACGTCTTGCCTTACTTTGAGGTACAATTACAGCATTATAAGTTGGCGTGTCTATTTGATAATGTGTTAGTTTGGTTTACCGCTGTCCATAGTTCTACTTTTAATTTATTTCTTAGTCCAAAGAATGGGTTGTTTTAAGGATTCCCCTCGCAGAGCCATTCCAATACTAGAAGGCAGGAGTAAACTTCTACAAGGCAATTACAAACGAAGGAAGTTCGCCATTCGTAAATGTGCCATGGTCGCCGTAAACCGCGGTTACAACACTTTCTCTGTGCAAGACGGTGGTCAGTGTTTCTCAGGACCGCGGGCTCAGTACACGTTTACCAAGTATGGACGATCAAACAGATGTAGGGGTGGTAAAGGAGGATATTGGGCCAATGATGTCTACAGGCTGACAGGTACTGAGCTCTCTTTATTTATTTATTGTTCATTTTTCTCTGTCCTTGTGTTAAAACAGCTAACAAATTTAGTCTTGCTGATTTTGTTAAGATAACAAGAGAAGCTTCTTACTACACAACTTCTTTTTCCTGTATTTTTTCCAAACAATACAACCTGACACAAAGCGCTTTTGAATGTTATCAACCCAAATCCAAAGTGACCCCATGGGCCAATCAGAACTAAGGTTCACAACACAAGAAGCCAATATGGGTTATGCTCTCCACCCGACTGTTTAAGTGGGTGATACTAATTCTGTGGACCAATCACAAAATGCAGTAAATCAAAACCAATACAATTTCGGTTTACTCTCGTTACTAAATTGGCAAGGAGAAGATGCACAAGCCTAAAGAAATGTTACTTAAAGTTAAGTCAGACAAGCGTGAACAACACACCACAATGAAATAGATTATGATCCTGAGATAAGCCACATCATGTTTAATTAAGGAAAAGGTGATATTTTCTCTTTTCTGGTTAAACAATCTCTGATTGAAGAAGTTATGATATATAAAGAAAAATTAAATGATTTTAACTCGTTGTTTCAGTGCAGTGTATTTAACGAAAAATAACCCCATACCTGAAATTTGTTAACATCGCTTATCTTCTCACTGAGTTTAGGTAGATGTCAACGTCGTACCACGTCAGGAAAATGCTGTGTGCTTCCTTTCGTTTACCGCGGACGCCGCTACAACAACTGCTATAAGTCAAGAAGCGGAAGGCCTTGGTGTCCGACGGCATCCGGTGTATACAAACGAAACCAACCGTGGGGCTACTGCCGGGGTGGAAAACGTAAGTAAAAGTTTCCTACTGAAGTAGCCCACCTCTCTCTCTCTCTCCCTCTGAAGTAGCCT